GGGACTCTTGTTAAAATGTAGACTCTGAATCAGCAGGTCTAGGGGGGAGTGTGGAGAGGGGGAAAGCGAGGTGCCTCATTTTAAGCAAGCCCCCAGGTGATGGGGAATCTCAGGTCCCTGGACCAGTTAGAGGAGCAAGGAAGCTGAATGTGAGAAGCAGGGCGCCTGCTTTCAGGCAGGGTTGACCGACCTGTCCGCTTCCTTCATCAAATTCCCAAAGTGAAAATGCCTTATCTGCCTCTCAGCCATTGACCTTCTATTCAGGCCTTTGCTCAGACAAATATTCACAGGCTTGAAGATTTCTCTTTAGCTTTAGATTTTTCTTTTGACCAAAGGGGCCCCAGTTACAGCAAGGCACACATATTGCTGTCCATAATCTGACAAGCTTGTTAGAGGATGCAGGCTCCTGGGCCCCATCCTGGAGATTCTGATTCTGTTCGTCTGTTTTATTTTTATTAAGACACCTCTGGGTATTTTCTGATGTACACTCAGATTTGGGACCCTCTGCTTTTGGCTAAAAAGCCCCAGCTGCTTCCACCTCACACGTGGCATTTCCACACCGTGCAGTCTGTGGACAGCACCTTCCCCCACTCCCAGGAGAGCAGTGTGCATTCTAGCTCACAAGGGAGACCCCTGCCAGCCCCAGAGCATCCAAGTCAGTGCACTGATGTGTTTGGAATGGGAAGCGGACGTGAGCGCTACTCAGAATTAAGCATATACTCTTCTCTCTTCTATCAGGTAGGAGATCGCAAATGAAAATAGAAAGGTCAGAATCTTAGGAACTATCAGCACAGGACTAAAACTTGCAGCAGATGGGTAGCGAGCGAGGGAAGATGTAGACATTCAGGCTAACAGCGATGACACTGCTAACTCTCCCACGGGACTCTGGCCATCATTTTGTCCTTTGCAGCTCAGTTTTGCCTCAAAATGAATCAAAAGTGAATCTTTCCAACCATAACAATAAGCCGGTTCCACACATAATGGACACCAGATAAATCCTTTTTGAATTGAGCTAAACTGAATCAAAGCTACTATCCAAGCAGTGGTGAACCTACGAAAACAAACAAAACACTATAAACCTGTTGAGAGACAAGAATTCTTTTCAAAAAACCCCAAATTTTGTAGGAATTTCATGAGATTCTGCATCGTGGAGGAGCAGAAGGGAATTAAGGAGGAAGAGGGCAAGGTCTAAGTTTGTTTCAAAGAGGGAGGAACTTCCATTCTTTAGGAAGAAGAGAGAATTGTTAGGAAACACAGCAGGGCAATGAAGGGCCGCGGCCTGCTGTGAACGTCACCTGGTCTGACTGTTTCAGGGAACTACTTGCAAAGCTAGCTGGATTCGCTCCAGAGGGCCGCAGTGGTGTGGTTGTAGAAAGCAGTCAAAAATATCCCTTGGGTTTGAAGACATCAAGTCTGTATCGCCGGGAGAATGGTGCAGCAGGCTGGGAGGGCCTGGGAGCCGGGGGACCCCAGAGCTGAGGGAGCAGCTGGAGTGTGTGGTAGAGCCCACAGTCATAGTCACTTTCACTCAGCCTTTCTCAGCCCACCTCTGTAAAAGACTTAAGCTTCGGAGATACTTTCTGGGGGACTGTTTTATCAATCCTTCCCAGGATGGTCCATAACTAGTGCCATGATGCACTGGAGAGAATCTGAAGGAGAGATCCCAGCAAAAAAAAAAAAAAAGCATCCGGGAAGTGTGAATGCTGTCCCTGACTGGCGTTAGGGCAGTCACCTCGCTGCGGAGGCTGATGAAAAGAGTGGGACAGTGATCAACAGGGAGTGCAAAACGTAGGTCAAGTTCCAAGAAAGAACCTTAGCAGTGATGGGCCAAAGAGGAAGCCCAAGGCACGGGGCAAAAGATTTGGTTTTCTATTTAGTACTTAACTGAGTATTTCAGTCCATGCAATACACACACACACACACACACACACACACACACACACACACACACACAGAGTCCCAGCCTTAAGGGGAAATTGGCCACGGGGCCAAGAGAGCAATCCCAGCCCCTACCGCCTGACTTCCATTCTGTTCCCTAGAAAACCAGCTCCGCACATAGACTGGACCTGTGGGGCCCCTGCAGGCTCTGTGTCCAGGAAACCCCACTGAGCTCCCTGATCCAGGGAGGCTACTGTTACAGGCATAGCCAGCAAGGCACCCACTCCCAGGGAACCACCTAATGAAAGCCTCATGTGTTGACTCGGGCTGCACACACACTCTCAGGCTAATTCTAGCTGGGCTTCGCGCCGAAGGTATGACCTCACCGTCGGGAAAACCAGGGACCCCAGAAAGAGAAGACTGGTGTGTGGGCCAGACCTGCTCCTAATCGCAGCCGGCTGGGATGGACGGAGACAGCCACCTCTCCTGGAGCTCCCGAGGACCAGGGGTCAGGGCCTGTGGGCCGGGAGGCACAGACATCTTACAGCTAAGAGCCCTCAGTTCTGGCCCAAGCACTCCTTTTTTTTGGCATCATCCCCATAAAAATCTCTACCATTCCACAAGGTTCACGCCAAAGAGAAGTTTAATTAGGTAGGGCCAAATCTCTGTGGAGAATTCTCAGTTACAGAAGCTAGGAAGGAAGGATATAATTAGAACCTGACTTTTTAAAAAATAGAACAGCTCAAAAGACCCCCATTAAGAGAAAGACACTGCAAAGCACCGTTCAGAACCTGGTACCCCAGAAATTTCACTTAGCATCATTCACAAACCATGTAAAGACCCACATTTCAGCCCCAGACTGGCTATTTTTCACGTAGCTCTATACTCGTAGGCATTTAATAAATTGTGTCGGCAATTCCTCTGCCTACACAGCAGCACTGTTTTCAGATGTTCTGTATTAAATCTTTTGTAGGCAACAGAACTTCGAGGAAGCTGTGCTTCAAAAGTAAATAAATGTGATTTTACCTGATGTGGTCACCGTGAAATAGAAAATGATTCGGGCTTTTGTTAAAGGAACGAAGAGAAATTCTCTGCAAGATCTGCTTATAAATTCTGCCTTCAGGCATTGGTGGCTGAGTATAAGTTGCAAAAAAAAACCAACCTGGTGAAATACGAAGTCTCTTAAATTGCATCCCATACGGAGCGTTTGCCTGAGTCCTGATGAGCCCCTTAAATAACCATCGCATGAGATCCCTCGGGACTCCAAGGCCTCAAGGAATCAGGGAAGATTTGGAATAATGTAAAAATTCCTCATAAGCGGGGGAACATTGAGTGATACACAAAGAACAAGGATTGACTCTGATGAAGACCCGTCAGTCTCCTAAGAGTTACTCTCCAACAATAGCTCCCGCTTGTTTTTTATTAAATGTTGCTAATTCCATTTGCTTTTAGTCCATTTGACTAGGTTTTATTATACTAGTTGTGGGGAGAATCAAAGCACAAAACCTCAAAGAACTTATATACTTATGTTCATAGCCCACGGACAATAGTGTGGTGAAGGCCTATGGGGGAGTGAGGGGGTAGGGGCTGGTGGAGGGGGGAGAAGGAGGGGGAAAATGGGGGACATCTGTAATAAGGTCAACAATATATATATTTTAAAGCACAAAACCCTTAGTTCCATATACAGATGTATATATTAAAATGTTTATTATTTTAAAGAGAAAACTTTTTTTCTGGAAATGTATCTCTGAAATAATGATGGGAGTCAATGGGAAAGCGGTTTTGTTATACAATATGTGCTTTGCTCGAGCTTTTCAGAAATACTTCTAAAATTCAAGAAAGGTCCAGTCAAGCCTGCAAAGACAAGACAATTCACAATCCATCAAAGCTGCAAGGCCAAGGCTTGGCCTGCTCACACAACCAAACATCCTGATACAGCATCTCTGTCCTGAACTGGAAAGGGACTGTCCATGGTTGCACCTGGAGGCCGGTGCTGTGGTTCACTCACCACATGGTCACCCAACTGTCCATCTTCCAAGTTCCACAGGATACTAGCAGAGAGCCCCGTTCTTCCAATTAGCCTGCAGCTCAAGCAAACATCTCCCTACAATGGCCTTGGTTCAGAAAGACTTCTTGGGCCCCTTCTCTGCTTTCTTTCACTTGGTCTATACGTCATGTTCCACCAAGAGTCCCAACAGTCCACCACTATGCACCCCTTATGCCTGGAATCAAGCTGCTTTTCAGAGGGGTAAGTATATGTATTAACAAGAAATAAGTAAATAAGAAGGCTCCTCCTTGGATGTTCAGCTCAGGCAGGTATAAATGTCAGGAGGGTCACACTAGTTTGGGATAGACTTGCAGGGTTTTAGAGTGTGTGTGTGAGGGGTGGGGGTAGGGGGAACCTTAAAGATTATCTAATACAATGAAACTCTTTTACCCAGTATGTAAAACAGAGAGAAAAGAAGCTGTTATAGCCACACAATAAAATATGATTTGTCCATAAAAGAGACAAACGAAGTATTGACCCGTGCTGCAACATGGATGAACATGTGAGCATTATGTGAAGCGAAAGAAGCCGGTTACAAAGGCCCACATGCTGCACGGCTCCATTTGTGTGCAATATCCAGAAGAGGCGAATCCAGAAAGATCAAAAGCAGGTTAGTGGTTGCCTAAGGCTGAGGGGGGCTGAGGGGTTGGGGGTGATGGCTAGGAAGCACAGGGCTTCTTTTTGGAGTGGTGAAATGCTATAAAATTGATTATAGCATTGGTTGCACAAATTTGTGCCACAGGTTAAATGGGTGAATTTTATGATGTGTGAATTCTATCTCAATAAAGCTGTTTAACACACACACACACACACACACACACACACACACAAAACAACCTTGTTCTCACTGCTCTGCCAGCCAGACCTCCCTCGCCCTGTTTCCTCTCATGGCCCCAGAACCAGCTCTGTAGGCACCTAGAGCTGAATGGAATGATCTAGTCCAAGTTTCTTCTCCTCGAATGTTAGCCAAGACATAAACCCACATCTTTTAACTCCAAGTGCAGGGCCCTTTAAATCAAAAGTCTCGCTAATGAGTGGAGGCTCATCTGGGGAGAGGCTGCTGGCAGGGTCTCACCGTCCATGTCCAGGCGCTGCATGATGATGGCCAGCTCCACCTCACTCGGCATGTACCCCAGAGAGCGCATGGCCATTCCCAGCTCCTGCTTGGAGATGAAGCCATTCCCATCTCGGTCCAGAACCCGAAAGGCCTCTCGGATTTCTACAAGGAGAAAGCAAAGAAAGTCCAATGGTCACGTGGCTTGGTCTATAGCATTGAAATTATCGGTGATTATCTACTGAAAATTCCTAACTATTTCACACATAGTGACATGTCAAGACCCTTTATTTCAATAAAAGAATGGCCAAAAGAGGAACCCAAAAAAAGGAAGAAAGAGAAAATGAAAGAAAAAAAGGGGTAGGAGGGAAAAGGGACAGGAGGAGAGGGGAGGAAGGAAAAGTGCTGTGGACAAAGGAGGTAACTGGCCCTGCGCATCCTAAAACACTGTGGTAGGTACACAGTTAGACAGTGGTCCCAGCAGAGAATCACGTTAACCAAGGACACCTCCTGAGCGAGGATGAAGATGAGGCTTCATCTGTGAGGAGAAAAGCTGCCTCTTAACCTTGGCCATCAGGAGGAAAGGGGAATGAGATTCCTACACAGACTTAAGTCCGGCTCCCTGCTGCTGCAGGAGCTGTGCAGAGAGGTTCTCAACCTCATAGTAGGATAGGAGTTAAGTATCCTGCTGTTTTTATTTCATCCTGTAATTTACAGTTGTTTTATGGCTATAAACAACTTCAGATCGATAGGAGTGTCATAAAAACCCAAAAAACATCTTTAATCACATTCGCTGGGGCTGGCAGAGAATTTGACTGTGCTATCAACAAGGCCATTTCCCTCCGGCAGGGGGTCTCCCATCCTCCTACCCCAACCGGACTTGCTCTGCTTTCCACCCAGTCCCTCCCTCCAGAGGCGCTAGTTCTGGGTTGGCTGAGCATTTCCTAACACATCACAACCCTGTGAGGCATGACATGAATTCGAGATTACAGTCCGAAGATGAGACGTTCGTCCATCCATCGTCTCTGAGCACCAGACTTGGCCAGCTTTGATTTTTCATCAGTAAACCCAGTGCAAGCCCAGGTAGGGCAGCTGCCAACCTTCGTTCGTCATGTCACTCAACAAGTACTGGCTGTCTGTACCGCAGAGAAATAACCAGCACCTGCTGGGGGTCCTGGTGCTCCTTCAGAGCCCGACACTCCAGTCGGGAAGGTGAGAGCCACACAGAAACTTGCAGTGTCCACTTTTCTAAATATCTGATTGCTCCCAGCAGATACCTTGAACCACACCCTTTCCTACACAGGCTCTGCCCTTTCATACCTTGAACCACACTCTTCCCTACATAGGCTCTGCCCTTTCCTAGTTACATTAATTTCCTGTGGCTTCTGTAACACAATTTGGTGGCTTAAAACACCAGAAATTTATCTCACTCTGAAGGCCAGAAGTCTGGAATCGGTATCTTTGGACCAAAGTCAAGGTGTGGACAGGGACCCTGGAGGCTCTAGGGGGGGATTTGTTTTTGCCTCCTTCCACCTTCCAGTGGCTGCCAGCATTCCTTGCCTTGTGGCCCCATCACTCCATTATCTGCCTCTGTGGTCACACTGCCTTCTCCTTTTCTGTCTGTGATCTCTCTCTGCCTCCCTCTGATAAGGACCCTTATGTTTGCATTTAGGGGCCACCAGACAAGTCAGGATAATCTCCCCATCTGGAGATCCTTAACTTAATTACATCTGCAAAAACCCTTGTGCCAAGGTAGCAATTACAGGTTCCCGGGATGAGCACCTGATACTTTGGGGGCTGTTTATCAGACTGCTGCACTATCCCACCCAGTTCTTCCACCTGACACACCCTGCCTTCCTCTTTAGCTGCCAAATCAAATTAGTCCTTCAAGGACAAGTCAAGGACAAGCTGTGGAACCCACAGAAACATCTTTGCTCCCTACAGCCAAAGTCATCTACCTTTCTGTCAACCATTCGGTAGGCCGTTCATTACTTTCACATAACATCTAGATGACCCATCTAGAAATAAGGTGACTGGTGTAGAAACCAGGGCTTCTCCTCTAAGCTCTTCATACACTTCATTCATCTTGGTATGTTCCCACCCACATTCAGAAGGAGGCGCTAGACAGACAGCTGTTCAATGGATGGTGGGTCTGAATAAATTAGGATCATACTTTGGTAGCAAATCCATCATCGATACCAATTCAGGATGCTGAATGCTTTCTGCTTATAAATGTGGGCTCCAGCAGAGACCAGACCAGCCAGCGAGTCAGGACCCCGGGCTCCTGGCCAGGTGGATTCGCTAATTAAGTTTGCAGCCAAAGCCTGAGGCCTCAGTTTGCTCATGTGTAAAATGAGCTGGCTAGCCACGAGGATCCCTAAGCCCTCCTTTCTGTAGATCGGTGGACACTGTTAAAATGTTTAAGAGAAGAACAGGAAGCTGTGTTCTCTTTCATACCCTATTAGTCTGTTGTTCAAATGCTCGTTTTTCCATTGACAATATAGAAAAAAACTTTAGTCCACTCCAAATTCTGAATCAAGGGGTTTGTCTGCACTTTAGGCTTTCTCGTCAACAAAACCTGCCCAGGATTACCTACAGGGGCCATATGTTTTCCTACCAAGTCCTTGGCGGCCTGAGAAGAGCTTAGTGCTGCTGCTCAGCTTGAGGTCATGGCGCACGGTGCTCAAGACCACGGCCTCACCTGAGCCCAGATCCCAGAAACCAGGGGCAGGTGGATGCGGAGACTGTGTCCCTGAGGTGGGAGTGAGGTGGGAGTGAGCACAGGAGGAAGTCTGTCTGGCTCTGGAACAGTCTCCGCCCCCATCGGTTTCCCCATCTGAAACATAGGTTGGGCTGGGTCTTCTTCTGGCTTTTATAGCAGGGTTTTACGTGGGGCTGACTTGTACTACGCAACAGTAGAAAATGTCAGATGATGGCAAGGGCTCTACCTGGGGTCACAGAAGAGGCCAGCTGGAGGGTCAGCTGCAGGCAGAGCCCTGCCCCGTGTCCTGTGGACCACTCCCTTCCCCAGGCGCCATCTCCACTTCCCACCCCTCAGATTCCAGCCTGCACGCTCTGGGCTGTTGCTATCACTCAGAAAGGGTGATGCCCTCCTGTTGACAGGACGGGGCCTCATTCCTGTGCTCCCCCTGCATGCGCTAGACCTTTCCGACTAATGAGCCTGTTTCCTTACACTGGACACCCCAGAGGGGCCTGGTTGCAGGTGTTGGAGAACTTGGTCTGGAAATAAAGGCCTTGGCATGTGTGCCTGCTGATCCCCACCCAGCTCTTGGGCTACTCCCAGAGTTGCCTCACCCCAAGGCTCCCGGATTTGGTAAGGCAGACCAAAGATGGGGTCACCCCAGCACTGCCCTGCTGTGAAGGGACATGTTCCTTCCAGGCCTCGAAACCCCATGGTTGGTCCCATCTGCAGTGTGTAACCAGGCAGGCCCTGTCCCAGCTCAGCACAGGGCAGGCAGGCACATACTGGCTCAGAGTTTTGTTTTCTGTGGCCCCCAGGTGGGTGGGACAAAGCCTTCCTCCACTGTTTGCATAGAATGTCTGCTCCTGGCTCCCAGGATAAAGCTCACTAACTTAATTTCTTTCAAAATATCAGAGAGTAAAAAAAAAGTACGAAACTAGAAATCCATAATGGGCGCCTCTGGAGAGTTAGTGTAAGGGAAGCCCAGCCAAACGAGAAGCTTATTAGGAGGAAATGGGTCTTGCAGTCTGAGACATGTGATGTGTGCCTCATTTTATTTTTAATAGCGAACAGGGTGTGAGAAATACGCCCATAAAACCAGCGGAGACACTGGAGCAGGCCAGGTCCCACTGCCTCCGGCGGTAGGCGGCCTGCTTGCAGCATGGAGGGGCTCTGGCCGCTTTCCCACTGGGAAGTGGGAAGCACAGATCGAGTTTTCAGAAACAACCCAGGAGTGTGGTGTGCTTTCCACGGGAACACATCCCCTCTTTGGGCCAACGCCCCTGGAGCAAGCGTGCTGTGCGTTTGGTTTTCAATTCAGTTTCAGGCTCACGCGACACACGCACAGCAGGCACCGGCATGGCCACCTCACTCCCAAAAGGGGCGTCTGCGATGGGGATCAGAGCCTGCCCGACAGTCGCTGTGTGAAAGGAAACACGTGAAGGCACATCTTCTAATAAAAGAAATCCATTCTCTGCACATGGACTTTCTCAGAACCAAATCCGCATTCCCACAGGCATCCGGGCTTCTCCTGCCTGGAGGGATATGGTGGTCTGGAGCCAAACAAGGCCTGTGCTGGACATGGTCCTGCTCTAGAGCCCAAGAGATTACTTCTCATTACGCCAGTAAGTCTGTTTCCTTTCTTTTCTTTTCTTTTTAAAGAATAGTTTATTGATTTTTAGAGAGAGGGGGGGAGAGACAGAGAAACACTTATTGGCTACCTCCTGCACGCCCCGTACCAGGGATGGAACCCACAACTTGGGTATATGCCCTGACCATGAATTGAACCAGCAACCTTTGGGTGCACAGGACGATGCTCACCTATCTGAGCCACACTGGCCAGGGTGTAAGTCTATTTTCTGAAACATATCCACACCCATCACTGGTACCATCTGTATCCTGACCCAGTGCCCTCTGAGCGCCAGGCCTCGGTTCCATGATGCACCCTAAGGACACAGGCAATTGGAGCAATAACAACAGCAAGGGCACACCTACCATACAGAACAGACTCATCAATCAGGCTGCTGAAGGGAGTGTGCAGCAGATGAAATCCAGACCTCAGCCAGAGCCAATATTCACTGGCTCACGTCTGGCTTTGAAGACTCGGCTGAAATTCACAGCGCTAATGTGCAAACTTAGATCAGTAACGAAGAGCAACAGTTTCTCATCCCAATCCCCATGACATGCAAAACCTGCTTATTCTCCACAGAAATGTATCGTTAGGAAGACTGTGGGCCTAAAGCACAAAAAGAGATGGCTCTATTCACAAGATGAATTCCGTTGATGCACGTCATTGAGAAATTGCAACACTGGAGGTAGACGCAGTTCAGCAAGGCTAGGCAGGGCGGTTATTAAATAACAACGCAAATGTACCAGGAAATAGAAGATACAAACTTGGAGGTCATTTTTTCAGAAGAAATAATAAGACAGGCATTGAGCCAATGACAAGAGATTTAGGAGTGTT